CGTTTGCTGGAGGCGCTTCAGGGGTGTTCTTGCCCTACGCCTTTCACACGCAGAGGCTGCCGATCTCAGAACGGAGGTGTAGCAATAAAAGAAACAGAGGAAAACCCAAACTATTCGAAATCGTAAGAGAACGCGTGAAAACACAAGCGTTTGGGGAAGAAGTCTTCCCTGCAAGGGCTCAGTATGCCCAAACCCACTGAAAGGACAGAAAACAGACCCAAAAACCATCCCCAGACCCTCACTGGAGTGATGACGGTCCCCAGCGACTGGCAGATGCTCCAAGCTCTGGGGTACGAACGTCACAGCACGGCTTCCCGAGGACGTCTCGCCCCAGCAGCTCCTGTCTGAACACAAAATCGCTTTTGAGGAACAAATTCAATAGGCTAAACATTACCTACTTTTTCCTGCAGTAAACAAATACCATATTACTCTTCTATACCTCTCAGTACAATACCCTAATTTGCTTCTTCCTCATCACCCCGCTATTAAAAGCAAATGAAACTGCAAAAACGGTGAACCGTAAAAAAAGAGATCCAAACTCAGGACATTAGATCATCTTCCATCCCAGTAATACATCAATATTTTGAATTATTTAAACCTTAACTCTGAGGCAGACACATTAATAATAATTAAAAAATCACATTTAAAGCATTTATTTTGAAAAATAAAATACAAAAGATCATTGAAAAATAATTGTACATGAAATTTATCAATCTTCTTTAAATAAAAGATATTTAACAATTTCCACATGTGAATAAAACAAACAACTGTTCCACCAAAAATCTTTTAGGACAAGCACAGACCACTCTTTTGAAAGCTTCATACATTTAAAACCAAACTGCTACAGGAAAAGAAAAACCTTTAACGATGGAGTTTTACAATTAAGTTAGAATAGCAATTTCGGAGACAGGCATTGCTTTGCATTTTTTAAAACCTTAAAAAAAAAAAATTTGTGCGAATGTAATACGGTTCTACACTAACATCAGTGTTTGGTGTTTTGTGTTTTGTTTTTTTTACCAGGTTTACATGTGCTCACAACAGCAAAATTTTGAACAAAAACATTATGGAAGAAACGGGGGAGAAAACTCTGAGAGAGGCAGGCCATGAGCCGTACACCTCAAGGAGCTCAGCGGGACCGTCCGTCTACGATCGTTTCTGTTGAAAAGGCAGCAGTCTTTTCTAAAGAAAAAGCAAAAGGAAGTTACGTTTGAGCTTTCAATGTAATATTCTGGTTTTATCCTTGACAACATTTTGTAATGACAAATAATGCATAATTAAGAATAATCACTGTTCTCTCAGTAGGTGAAAAGTCACAGTCAAGACTAACCACAGGCACTCAAAGCTTTCCTGTAAGGAATGTGGCTGCTTTTTCCATCACGTATCATTAGAGTTACTTCTTGAGGCATATTTAAATGTAAAAAACCATAGCTGAATTTGCACTTACATTCAAAATACTTGTGAATTTGGGCTGCATTTACATGCTGGAAGTGTCTCTTCCATTACAACGTTCCAGAGGTAGTTACTGCTGGGAAGTTAACAATTTGGTTTCTCAGAAACTGGACAGCAGCTTTAGACAGAAATACCATAGTTTGAAATACATTTTTCAAAGAGGTAAGTGACAAAAAGGAAGTAGATGGTTTAGTCCTTTTAACACTGACTACATGAAAAGATTATGGTTTCTCTATCAGTTTCAGAAAGAACACGTGCAATTAATCGTTAAAAACTTTTATACCCATTATTTCTAATTGGTATGACGCTTTTGGCTATATTTAGGGCTACAGGGAGTGCTACATTTATGGCCACATAATAAATATCCGTGCTGGGTATAGTTGTGTAGCGTGCTGCTTTTGGCTATATTTAAACTGGACGCATTTGGCCATCTTTTGTTGTCAAGCCAGAACATTTGATAACGCGGTTGACAAGTAGAAATCTTGGATTAATACACTAAATCTTGCGTCATTCATTTGTTAACTAGTCTGGAATTTACTGAGTTCCCTGCACAATCCTGCCATTATTAATTCAACAGTTAAAATGCAGCTTATTGAAAATACTGGCTAGGAGACATACTAAAAGCAAGTTAGACAAATCAGCTCATCGTCAGGAGTTTCCTCTATCTAGAAAGGGCAACTGATTTAAAAACAAAAGGCAAAGACAATTAAGAGTCATCTTTAAAGTTTCACTGTTTTGTTAAAATGGGGACCTGAATCTGTTGTGCAACTATGCCATAGCACTGAAAGACACACAGATACTAGAACGAACAAGAAACTCTGCTAAAGAATGCCTGACGTGTAGTTTTGTGTACTCCTTTCAGCTTCAAGCTCTGAAATAGTGCTGACAATCCAACTGCAAAGCAAATATTGCAAATTGCTATGAGCCCTATAGAACTGCAGTGTGATTCCTAAAGCATATGAAGTATGGTTCTGTAGCTCTCACCACCAGTCCTCGTCCTTACCTCAATGTGATTTTTTACAGATTCTGAATCAAGATCCACATCTTCGTATTTTTCTTACTACAATCTTACATGGAGTTACATAAGTTTAAAAAAAACACCATAACTAAATCAAGAAAAGCAAATGAGCGGGCTGCATGGTCTTTTATTACCTTCTGTGCAAGAAATATCCATTGTATCTTCTATTCCATCGGTTCAGTCTGTCAAGTAAATAATTAAAATGAAATTAGCTATTTTACAATAGAGGAGAAAAATATCATTATCAGCACCAATGTTTGTGCTCAAAACCATCTAGCTCTTTAGTTACATTGTGTTAATTTTATCTTTCGTGTAATGCTAAAGGAGAACACTACCAGCATCAATTTCAACTCCAGCATCAGTTTTTATTGTTTAAGCAATATTCTCTTACTATTTCACAAAGCTTATTTTTGCTTTTTAGATGACCTTTCTTTACTTTGGATAAATCTGCTCAGAGTTTGGTAAATACTGTAATCATAGCTAGCTAAGTGTATAAATCTGCCTCCTGAAATTTAGCAGAGTCCCATTTTGAAGCCTCCCTATCATATGGATTGAAAGAGGACGTTCACTGGTAATAGTAGAATTTTGATGTGTCATAAGACACTTGGAAGACACAAACAGCGTAATTTAACTAACAGATACTGTAGGGAGATCAAGGATCATTTATTCTGCTAGCACACTATCCATACGCAGTGAGCTATATTTTAAAGGCAGCTCACCTCCCTGCATTTCCAGAAATCCTTATCAGCAATATTTAATCGTCTCCTGTTCTAACACACCCTATGCTTGCAGCCATATATGCTGCAACTCGATAATCTTGAAATAACCACAATAATTGCATTTGAAAGCATTAGAAATGACTACAGCACAACTTTCTGAATACAATTCGCTGACAATAACTTTTAAGCAGCACACATTCAAATAGTTATCTTGCCACTAAGCTGCACAGACATTTTGGCCAGCAGTTGAGAGTGAACAATGCTGTGTGCAACAGCACATTTAGCTGTGTGGTGCCAGGTTCTTAATGGTTTTCCATTAGCTGAGCATAACTTGCAAAGCATGAGCACTAGCTGTTCAAAGGGTGAGAGCAGGCAAACATCCAGTAAAAGAGCAAAGCCCACGTTAGAGATCACAAAGATGTATCAGAAAGGTTTGGTGTCCACAGCAAAAAGCTATATTCTGAAAACATGAGACAGACGCTACAGCTATTCGACTTTACTGATCCATGTTCATTTTATCTTGCCACGAGACTTCCTTTCTACTGTCTTCTTTGGCTGGAACAAAAGAAACCAATTTTCTTTTTTAATCAATTAATTTTCATTTGAACGAATGGAGTAAGTCAAAATGCTTTGTTTGCATGTGGTAGATTCTGCTGTGTTTTCTTCAATCTCTACATCTAACAAAAGTCATAATCAAAGAGTTTTCTTAATACTGGGGAACCAAAGTCAAAAAAGCTTGTGCCTGGTAGGTTTTTTCTTCTTTTAAAGGTAAAGACACTGCAAATTACTTTGCTTTTGATAGGCTAGTTATACTTACATTCTAAATAAACTTCTGTACCATATGTATCGTTAAGGATAGGAAATCAAGTAAATATATAAAGTAACGCAAGCATTGCAAATAACTTGTCTACTTCTAGCCATTTTACAGGCTTTTCAGAAATCCGGATAGAAGCATATAATCTTTTCCTCTTTTGCTTAAAGTGTTGGCATGTTTGACTACAGTTATGCTGCAAGTTACCATTTCAAATACTGCTCTGCCTACTAACTCTTTTCTTTTTAAACAGCTCTGCTAAAGTGGTCCCCCTTGAACAGCACTACCCTGGAACAAGAAGATGACCACATGTGCTCCAAGCAAACCCCATCAGTACTGCGACGCCCCTCTCCCACCCAAAAGAATGAGCTGCTAAACCAAATAAAATATAAACAAACAATGGTGCTGGCCTCCAGCTCCTGGAAAAGAAGAGAAAGGCCTTGCAGGAGGCTGAAGAAAACTGTGATTCAGATTTGTGAAAAACATAGCAGCAACAACAACAAACGTCGTGGGTAACAGCAGGCTTGGCAAGTCACAGCTCCTGTTGAGACCAATGGGAAACAAGTGTGCCTCTTGCAGTTGCAGAGATACAAAATTCTGGAGGCAGAGAGTCCCTAAAAATGCTTTCTCTCCCAATTCTGCAACGCCGTACTCCTGTACATGCAGGAGGAATTGGAAAAAAAAAAAGAAGCTTTCTACTTAGCTTTACTTGAACACACCCAGAGACAGTAACAGCGATGAGCCGCTTCCTGGTTCTGACACCAAAGCACAATGTAGAGAGCACTTTAGATGGCATTTAGACATTTACCACCAATTATGCAGCCTACAAAAAATGCTATTTCAAAGAGCCTAGTTCAGCAGCTCTTACCCAAGAAATGAAAACCAACTGCTACATGTTCAACTTATTTCATAGGAAATTTTTCATTTAAACAGTAAAATACACATATTTTTGTTATTTCTCTGATGAAGGTGAATATTTGCTTCTTGTCTAGATCATCTGTGCTGATTTTTCATGGCTAGACTAGCAGAGCCACATACACTGGTTTTAAGCTTAAATCTGCAATAGGAGGGAGAATTAATTTCACTACACGTTTGGGAGAGAAAAAAAAGAAAAAAAAAACCAAAAAACCACACATGCACACAGCAGCCCTTCAAGCTACTGCAACGGAGCACCCCAACAGGCACCTCCATGGAACAAGTCCATCCTCTCAGCTCTGTCACCTTCAGGAGACACAGAAGAGCTGCCCAGCAGGAAGGGATGCCATTTTCCAAACTGAATTCTTATGTCCGGAAATGGGCCAGTGGTTACAGCCCAAAACCCTTCCATCATGTCTACATGAGGTTGGAAGCATGTCTCCTACATATTCACATAGCTGAGGGGGAAAGTATCAAGAGATCTTGCAGTTTGAGAACTCCATGATAAGGATTTTGCGTTTTCAACCGCTATTGCTAAGGTTAGGTCCCTTAGGCAGCTGATGACAATTAACAGCATTTGAAGGGTGCTCTTGCTCTCTTCTGCTCACTTGATTATTAAATCAATACACCATCACTATCCATGGCTGAACTGTTTGTTTTGCCCGATACAGTAGTATTTCTTTTTAAAAATCTCTCATTAGTTATCTCTGCTCTCTGTACTGTACTTGCTTTAAACCATTCCATACAAGGCAACAAAAGATAAAGCTTCTCTACAACTAACAAACTTTGCAAGTTGGTCTGCACAAAAGAGAGTTAAACTCTCCTCCAGTTTCACAGCAGCATTCAACCAGCTCTGTTTACAGGCACCATACTATTAACACTGGTGTTACACATGCACTCAAGAGGGGCTTGGGACTGCTGAGGGTACTGGAGATTCAATCTCATGGATAAGCTATTCTCTTATAATCTTGAGTCACCTGTTGTCTTATAATCAAAGACAAAATAAAATTTATGAAGTGGTTTGTAAAGACTACACCTGCAAAAAGGAAACTAATCCAATACGGTACCTGTGGCACTTCTTTAAGAAAGTCCGGAAGCTGAAATTCACCTTTATAGACCTGGAAAAACAAACAAAAAAATCCAATAAACTACTCAAAACTAACATTCACTACTGTTTGAAACACTAAAGAGCGTGTTAAGACAGAAGGAAAAAAAAAAAAGGATTCTTCTGGGTTATTACCATCCAGTAATATTTAAACAGATTTACCTAAACTGAGCACAAACTGTTTTTAAAAGCAAGTATAATTCACGAGGTTTGGTTGTCTGTTCCACAGCCATACGCTCAGTCCCAGGCTTGCTCTGTACTCAACGCTCTTACCTTGCTTGCATTAAAATCGTGAAACTATGTAACTCATATTACATTTCAAGCTTGCTTGAAGTAAGTCCTGTGTAATCCACTCCCTATGCTTTTATAAAAAGATTTTTAACAGTATGTTTAAATACAATAGGACTAAGTTGCTACAATACATATTTTTTTGAAGTTTATATATAAACAGATCTGTTGCTTCATATTTTAGTACCTTCAATAAATTAAGCTCCCTTTGGGCTTAATTACAATTTACAACTAAAACAGTCTCCATTTAAGTCTTCTGAAAGAGCTCCCTGTCATGATCTCATGGACTGTGTCAGAATTAATATACCAGCCAGGCAACAAGCAACATTCAGTTCTCAAACATTTTATGGTCTACAGTTTAGAAACTCAAAGTCACATAATACAATATTTTCTGATGCATCAAAGTACGTGTTATGTACAAAGTATTCATCATTCATGCAAACAGAGATATCATACCTGAACAACTGATCCCACCTTACTATGCTGTCCAAGAAAAGCTCTGTTAGTTTTCATATAGTTTATGGAGACAATGCAACTACAATCAAAGTCTGGAAACATGAACAGCTTTCAATTCTGTTAAAATGGTCAGCACTCCAGGAGTGTCAGCATCTCCTTCTAACCTGTTTTACACACAGACACCCTTTTATTCTACATATCTAGCTGGTGTAATTTTCAAGTTATAAGAAAGTTTATATATTTGCTTTAATCCTTAAAGATACACAGATACCATTATAATAAGTACAGATATATTGCTAGCAATTTTCTTTGAGTATTCCATGTCAGACCTTGAGTCACTTCGCAAACACAGTGTGCGAGATCAGACACCTAACTCCTTCCCCCCCAGGCTGTAACCACACCTCTGAAATCCCCAGCTTCTGGAGGGAGAACACAGGGTTGGATGAGGCCTAAGTTTTCCTTTATTATTTTCATACTATTTAGTCATTAATTTGCTTTTCAATTACAGAAATGTAAAAAAAAAAAATTAGGGGGTAAGACTTCCCTGTATTGATAGATATATAGATTTAATAGCTTCATATACACATACAGAAGAGTTCCAGATACTAGCAAGTCTGTCAAAGTTATAGCCAGCAACTCTTATGATTATGAATTTCTACAACAACTGTAGCCTCATTACCAGCCTGAGTTCACAAGAGTTTGTCATTACTGCAATTTCCAATCTTTTAGAGCATAGTATTACTTCTGAAACAACACTGGAAAAAGAGCAAGCAATAAATATCCTCAAACATACCAACAGCCACACCAGAGAAGTGTTCCCACTATCTGACCAACTAGGAAATAAACTGGCAACATATTGTCTTCTCTCTAGAGTATGCCTCTTAAAAGCTGTTTGCTTCTGAGATTCAACTGGAATACACTGGGGGGCAGGGGGGGTATTCTGTTGGGGAGGATTTTCTCCAAAAATAAGTATACTTCAAAGGAAGAGTTTTACCATCCTTTCTACTAAACTAAAAAGACCACACACCCTAATGTCATGAGTTCTCTGTAGTCTTGTGTGGCTGTAATCATATAAAAATCAAAAGCCACAAACCTACTTAGAAAAATTCTATAAAGCCATAAAACGGAAATGGGGCTGCTCTACAGCCTCGCTCAGAGTTGCACTCCCTGGTTTGCAAATTGCATCAAAGGAAAAAGATTCAGGAACTCAAGGGATGCTTATTAACAATATCCATTTTCTCTGCCTTCTGATGATTTCTGATGACCAGAATATACAGCTGTACCCATTCTGTCAATACACTGCGGTGGGCTAGGACTGCAGCTGAGGCAGCTCAGCGTTTCCTGCCCATCAGACACTGCACCCCACCACTGGCCTGCAGCACGAAGCCATGACTCATGTGGAGTGGACTTCGGAGCTGGCAGTTCTCACCACTCTATTGTTAGGCTAAACATCTCCAAACAACAAGGCTTCGCTCAGTCCCAGCACAAGAGCAGGAATTGCTATACACATACATTGCAGAACTCTGTTCTTTCTGATATTCCATGTTTTAGGTAAAATAGAAAGGCCGATTCAAAATGATAGGCACAGCTCTCATTTATATTCAGCTAAGGGGTTACTGTCATTCCCATGGAAATCTTAATGAAAGCCACACTGGTCAAAAATTCAGCATGTGGCTTACTGGAGCCTAGATATACTATAAATATTTATAAATGAAGGAGAGTATTTCATATTTTCAGCTTTTAACCAAGCCATTCAAACGCAAGCTGTGTTCTAGAGAGCAGAAACAGAAGTTACAAATCAACAATATTATCACATCAAAAAATGCTACAGAACAACCTAGGCAAGGTTCACAAGAAAAAATGCTGTGGGAAATTGACATTTAGTTTGATTTTGCTATAGCTTTAGTTTGATTTTTTTATATAGTTTTGCAGCCATATTGAGGCAAGGATTAAACCTCTGACATTTAGTTCGGTCCTATTCTTTGTAATCTTGCTAACAAGGACTGCCGTGAGCTCAAATGTCGATAACAAGGACTGGTGCAAGACAGGTAAAAGCAACAGGGTCTGATAAGGACTGATAACCAGAACCCTATTGTCTGCAAGAAGCCCCCCTCTAGTTGAAACTGGTTTGGCGGCTTGGAACTCAGCCAACACAGACAACTCAGCAGTTTTAGACCAAAGGTGAAAAGTACACAGCGAGGAAGACTACAAGCCTTCATCCAAAAGACCCCCACAGACGACCACAAGATGACATTGCGCAAGCACTAAAGAGGGACGGAGTATGATAATGGATTCCTGGAGATAATTATAATAATCACACCTATTCCCAGAACTAATTGTAATAACCCAGCCCACTTCGACAAACTTTGTAATAAATAGGTGCATGCTTTGTGACTCGGTGTGCAAGTTAGGAGGAACGATCCCCCTTGCATCCGTAGCCGTAATAAACATTACCTGCTTTACAACTCTGTGAGTTGTGGAGTTTGTTTCCGCACGTCAGTATCTTTTATTAGACTAGTGCTGCTGTTGGAAGAAACAGACAGACTTCCTCACCTTTTCTGGCAAACCACTACAGTTATCTGGGAATTCTTAAAAACAGTTAATACTGATGATGATGGTACATAGTGACTGATTCATAGCCAGAGTGACCAAACCCACGTTTGTCTCTCCAGAAGCCGCCTTCTTTCCCTCTCCTGCAATTATGACTTGGTCTAATTTTATTTATTTTATTATATATCAATATGTATGCCTGCTCCAAAACCCGTACCATTGTAATGCCCTTTGTAGGAACAGCATTTACTTCCAATAAGCATTAATAGTGGATAGGCAAGGGTATTAATCCATCAGCAATATTACAAAAATGACACTAATGTCATAGCCTGGAAAGATAAGAAAGTGTTTCAGGGGCATTTGACACTACATTCACATTAAATATCACGATTTACACACCACAATTTACAAAGGCAAATCTTCTTGGGGCTGTCATTGGTTAGATTAACACACAAGTGTGCCTAATTTTGGTTCAGAACTGACATTATCTAGGGTGCTGGTTTTGTCAAGATTGAGACTGCATGGAAACTGGTTAAAAGTAGTTCCAAAACCAGTAAGTGGTCCCTTTTGAATTAAAACCCAGGGATCAACTGCAATCCAGAAATTCTAAAAACAATAACTCCATCTGCAGCCAAAAAAATGAAGAGGTTTCAGATTCAAAATTATTTTCTGACCGATTTCTGAGTCTAAAACACATTATTCAGAGACTGGCAGCAGAGGCAGAAGCAGGACACTGGAATGACTTCCGGTCTAAGCAAGAATTTAGTAAAACTGAGGATAAATTATGTTTACCATTTCTAAGGGAATTATTTTGCAAGTCCAAATGAATTTCCAAAGTGTGTGTGAGGGGGAAATCTGAAGTCTGTGTCACATTTTGTTCAGTGTTGGCAGTATTGAAGCTGTTCTATTAAAACAAAACAAAACACATACCCAAACTAAACGCGTATTATTCTCAAAAAGAGATCAGAAAACCAGTTTCACATCCACTTGTCTGAGAAAACCCTTATAAATACACAAGGAAAACTTAAGAACAGAAGTGTAACTCAGAAGTGTAACCTGTAATTCATCTTTATAGAAGATTAAAGCACTCCTTTTCACCTGCTTTCAAGTCTGGTTTAGAAAGAGTCACATTGTATTTGGGCATTTCCAGGACATGGAGGTAATAGGTCCTTTTGTCTAAAAGTTAGCCTGCAACTAAGTGTGCTTGGGCTTGGTAGACTTTCCAAACATCAGAGTTGCAGAGTACAAGGCTATCGATGTTTAATTGTAAAAAAAAAAAACCCAAACAAACAAAAAAAACCCCCACACAGACCAGATCCCCTTTCTAGAAACAATCCTTTACTGCACAGTCCATGGAGGTACTCCTCATCTTGCTCTTTCCTCAACTTTTAAGTCAGCTTACAAGGCTTACACAATTCTTCACCTCTTTGATGGAACTGCCAAGAAAGGAGACATCTGAGATGTAAATATTTACCCAGCAGGAACAACACAGAGAGCACAATTTTAGACAGGCCTATGAATGCCTGCCAAAAGGCAGCTTGCAACCATACCTAATCTTGTATTTTGTTTGTTAATTACTCTGTATGCCTTACTAATCATACATAGGCATAGCTGGTTTGAAAAAAAAAAAAGGTATCAGGACATCTGGAGAAAAACAATGGAGCTGGGAATGCACATGCTGGAAGAAACACCCACTAAAGAGGGTATTAAACTTAAAGG